ATTATTGCTACTAACCGCATTTCTGGATCTACTAACCGTATTACCAATTGTATTATTGTGTGAATACATTTATTTGTTATGTTTCATTCCTACGTTTGTCATCCATTGGAGACCCGATTTCATCTCGGAATCCACATCATTATTATTATTATTATTATTTTATTTCTTTTGGTTTCTGGTGTATACATATTTCTTTCCGGGTCCCGACGAGAGACCTAAGGTCAGAAATGGCATCATGAGATTTTTCACTGAGCATTTTTTGAAAAAAGGATCATACAGGTTTTACATGGATAAATCCCTTCGTAAAGTGTGGGCTGTACTTGTGAGTACATTTTTTTGTATCTCTTTGAGGCATGGACTTCCAGGGATCCCTTCAATCTTTTCCAACCAATCCGAGGGCTCCAACTACAGCAGGGATTGTCGATGTTCCCATGTGCCACATTTTTAAGATTTCGATTTCAAGGTCCTTGTATTCTGATAGCATTTTGAAGATCTTAAAAGATACATTTTAGTCTTCAGGGACTTGCCATATCAATATGGAGGAACCTTTTTGTCTTTGCAGTCTCTAATCACGATGTCTGGGCAATTAGTTTTGATTTTGCTCTCTGTGTATTGTAAAATCGCATAGGATTGTTACAGGCCCTATCTCTCTAACCGGGTCTGGGTGATCTTTATACAAATATCTTGTTGTTGTTGTTGTTTCTGCTGTTGTTGTTATTGATGTTTCTACTGCTGTTGTTGTTGTTTCTGCTGTTGTGGTTGATGTTGATGTTGTTTCTGCTGCTGTTGTTGTTGTTGATGTTGCTTCTGCTGTTGTTGTTGATGTTTTTGCTGCTATTGTTGTTGTTGATGTTGTTTCTGCTGTTGTTGTTGTTGTTGCTGATGTTGTTTCTGTTGTTGTTTCTGCTGTTGTTGATGTTGTTTCTGCTGCTGTTGTTGTTTCTACTGTTGTTGTTGATGTTGTTTCTGCTGCTGTTGTTGATGTTTCTGCTGCTATTGTTGTTGTTGTTGATGTTGTTTCTGCTGTTGTTGTTTCTGCTGTTGTTGTTGATGTTGTTTCTGCTGCTGCTGTTGTTGTTGTTTCTACTGTTGTTGTTGTTGTTTCTGCTGTTGTTGTTGTTGATGTTGTTTCTGCTGCTGTTGTTGTTGTTTCTGCTATTGTTGTTGTTGCTGATGTTGTTTCTGCTGCTGTTGTTGTTGTTGTTGTTTCTGCTGTTGTTGTTGTTTCTGCTGCTGCTGCTGCTGTTGTTGTTTCTGCTGTTGTTGTTGTTGCTGTTGCTTCTGCTGTTGCTGCTGTTGTTGATGTTGTTTCTGCTGCTGTTGTTGTTGTTGTTGTTGATCTCCTTCTTGAGAACCTTCGTTCATATATGTAAAATGCTTCTTCAACACAAAAAGAAAAAATGAGCTTTGTAGTTTTTATCATGAAGATTCAGGCAATGAATAATAATGATAATAATAATAATAATAATGATAATAATAATCAGAAGAAGAAGAATAAGGCAAAATAAGCGAGCCAAGACAATATAATGCAAGGCAAAGCAAAGCAACTATAAGACAGTAACAAAATAAAAAGTTCCCAAAACAGAAATAGTGTTCACACTCTAAAAGGATACAGTCACGTGGTCATTGCCTTCTTTCTGAGTTCAAGTAAAAGAAATCAATGTGGGGGTAAAACCGAGAGTTTCTCATTTTCATTGGCTAGTTTATGGGTAAATAGCAGATCAAAACTGGATCCTTGGGATGGTAACCCGTCAAGGAGAAAGACAATTTTGTATTCAAGACCTGAGTGGGCGAGTGGTCAGCGAATCAACCGGCTCCCCCACCACAACCTGATCTGGTGAGGAGGATAAGTCGAACCCCAGCAGCACACACACACACACAAAAAACAAGAGCTGTTACAGGGCGGACGAACTCCTCAGAGTCAACGGCCAACCACCCCAGCTAAGTAGCCTCACCAACCCGCAATTGGCCAAGAGTGGTCAATATAGGAATTAAAACCTATATCTATTTTTGAACCAATAAAATCTCATCAGAAGCTTTGTTTGATAAGGTTTGTTTTACTGGGGAAAATACCGGCCAAAATACTTGGCGGATGTAGTTGTAGACCGATCACGTGTTATTTTGTGCTGCATCATGAGGCTAAAAACAATTTCAGAGGCCAGTTTTGAGCTACACATGTGCGCACACACACGGACCCACGCACATGTACACAATGGAAGAGACGACAGCAATCAGCTGCTGACTAAGGCCTTGTCCACACACCCAATAGCAGGGACTAACCAGCAGCTACCGACTACGAACTCACGAACACATTAGGCTAACCGTTATAAAGTAAGTCTGTTCACACATCTCCCATCGCCCTAACAACACTTAATTACTTGATAGAACAAATTTAACTGCAAGGGAAACTGAACATTTTATTGTTTTGTATATTCCTAAGAAGAATATATAAATATTATTTTAACTGATATTCTGCTTCTTATCCTTCAGCGAATAACCCTTTTTTTTTAATGCTCCATTTAAAACATGTGGTGTTGTGAAATGTTTGGGATCCCGACACTCAAATAAAAGCAAAATCCTGGGTAGACGGATACCAACCATAGTAGGGCTACACCCCTGAAGACACGGTGAGCCGGGGAGGGAGTTTCGCCAAAAGGAGAGAGAAGACCGTGTAGTTGTATTTGTATTGGCTTTTAAGAAATCCCAGCATGCATCTGTAGGGTTTGTTTATAAATTTGGGGAGGGTGATTTTAGCACTTAGTTTGGAACCAACAATTGTTCATACTCACGGTCAACAAGCTTGTGTTCTATACGTCACAATAGTGTTAATGCAGTGTACAATTAGGCAAGATACGTTTTAATAAGTACAGAATATATATATATATATATATATATATATATATATATGTGTGTGTGTGTGTGTATGTGTGTGTTTATGTGTATGTGTTTGTGTGTATATATATATATGTGTGTGTGAGTGTGTGTGTATGTGTGTGTTTATGTATGTGTGAGTTTGTGTGTGTATATATATATGTTTGTGTGTGTTTATGTGTGTGTGTATATATGTGTATGTTTATGTGTGTGTTTATGTGTGCGTGTTTTTGTGTGTGTATATATATGTGTGTGTTTGTGTATATATATGTGTGTGTCTGTGTGTTTGTCTATATATATATATATGTGTGTGTGTGTTTATGTGTGTGTGCTTGTGTGTGTGCATATATATGTGTGTGTGTGTGTGTGTGTCTTTATGTGTGTATGTTTGTGTGTGTGCGTTTATGTGTGTGTTTATGCGTGTGTGTGTTGTGTGTGTGTTTGTGTGTGTATATATATATGTGTGCTTGTGTGTGTATATGTCTGTGTTTATGTATGTGTGTTTGTGTGTGTATATATATAAGTGTGTGTGTGTGTGTGTGTGTGTGTGTGTGTGTATGTAAATGTGAGTAATGGAGACGCACAAAGACAAGTAAATAGACAAGATCAAATAAAACAAGATTGGATAAAAGAAAGCAGTTCTAAAATAGCGGAAAACGTCTGAAAAAAAAATAAATAAATAAAAATAATGAACGTCATGTGAAGAAAATGAAAAAAAAAATGAAAGAAAAAACTGTGAATGAATCAAAACAGGACGTAAAATGTTTTCTAAATAAATAAATAAATAAAAAAAATAATAATAACGAAGAATAAGCAACAAAAATAAAATAAATTCATTGCAAAACTCTTCACACAAAGAAGAACCAATTAGCTTTTGTGTGATGGTCGCCATCTTTGAGTTTCTCAGTAGAAATTGACCAAAACAAAACACACATAGACACACACCCCGCGCGCAGGCGCACGAAAAATCTGGTTATCACGTGATCTACCGCCATTTTGTTTTTTGTGATTTTTGATGCAATCGTTGGCGCAAGGGCACCTCTGTTACTTGCTAATCAAGAAACGCCTTTTCTTTTTTTCCTTATCGCAGTTGTTATTGCAAATGGAAATCAGCGTCTTCTGAAGTGTTTTCCCGAACTCTTCAAAACAGCCATTCATTTGACAGAACGTTGCTGACTTTAGTGACAAAAAGAAAAGCGCCCTCCGACGTGGAGAAAGTTTACTTGTGACTCTTAAAGAAAAAGAGAAAAAGTTGTTGAATGTTGTTTGTTTTTTCCATCTTTTCCTATAGACAAAACAAGCATAGAACTAAAGTAGATGAAAGTTGGGAATACATGCTTAAGGGTTAATACATTGGCATAGAACTCCGAACGTTTTGTGTCAATGTAAACTACCAATAAAAAATATCTATCTATCTATCTATCTATCTATCTATCTATCTATCTATCTCAGTCTATTCATATCTATCTCAGTGTATTCGTATCTATCTATCTATCTATCTATCTATCTATCTATCTATCTATCTATCTATCTATCTATCTATCACATTCTGATAACCTCTCACCCCCCCTCTCTCTCTATATATATATATATAAAGACAGAGAATGACTGACGTATATGTGTCAGTCTTCTATATATATATATATATATATATACACTCATATCTATCTACAGATCTCTCTCTCTATACACACACACACACACACACACACACACACACACACACACACATACACACACACATATATTTATATATATATATATATCAGATAAATATGCCCTCTCATCCGCATATTTTTCTGTCAGATGATTTCTCGAATATTCAGGCCAAAGGTCAAAAATAAATAAACATATTGTTGAATAAATAAACGGATCGTCTACTCAAATACTAGCATCCACGAAAATAAGTTTTAAGCAATAAAAATCTGCAGCAATAATAAATAAAATATCAATTTTTCTTTTTATATATATATATATATATATATATATATATATATATATATATATATATATATATATATATATATATATAGTTAATTTCTCTTTTAATAGGTGTGGCATATTATGTCAAAGCTTTTAGTTGAATCTGTTGTTATGTTTATATATATATATATATGTGTTTTATGTGTATGTGTGTGTGTTCGTCTATTTACATTTTTTATCTATCAGACACCCGCTCTCTCCACATCTCTCTATCTATCTATCTATCTATCTATCTATCTATCACAGTCTTTTCGTATCTACCTACGTCACAATCATTTTTTATTGTTTTCTATGTATATTTAATTATTATGCATCTGTGTACAATTAATTATATCAAACGTATGTTTATTCATTTGTTTGAAATACAATAAATTAAAAATTTGTATTTGTACGAACATTTTCCCCACTATATATATATATATATATATATATATATATATATATATCAGAAATGCATAAAATCCGTCCTATTTTTAATTTATTTGTTTAAACGTTATTTTTAAATGGATACTCATATTTCAGTAGATGCTCCGTTTTTATTTAATAATTAATTAATTAATTTATTTATTTCTTAGACAGTTTATTATTTATTTGCATCTACTAGACTGAATATTCGAGAAGTTTTGTTTGAAAAATGTGCGTCCTCCGGCAGGATTTGAACCTGCCTCCTTTGAGAGAAACCGTCATCAGATCTGACGGGCCTTCGACTAACTCGGCGGAAAAACGTGTGTTTAAAAGCACTATTTTTGGCTATAGTATGAGTATATAACACCCGCTTTTTCTTCTGTGTTTGCTTGCCTCACATTTGGGATTAAGTATCCGTCATTGTGAGAACAGATCATCCAAGGAAGATGAAATGTTTTATAAACCTGGACGTAAATTTACTGTGGATGATGTCGAATCAACGAAAGTGTAAATGATATTCTTTTATTTTTTTTAAATGAAAATTAATAATCTCTTTTTTTTTTTGTCGTTTGGAATTCATTTATTCGTTATACATTTTAAATAATATGATTTCTTAACTTAACCGTTGTTTTATTTCAATTTTTTTAACGTTTTTATGGACATGTATGTTGGTTTTATATATATGTTGGTTTATATGGTTGGCGACACTTGAGTTTGAACATAGATCGACAATGGGCAAACACGGGCGATCCCGTTATTGAATGAAGTAGATCACGTGACCATAGAGAAAACGCATATAAGGGAGGAAGCGTGTGTCTAACTGATATTCATTTCTAGTCTATCCTCTATTACTATTCGAATCGCTATCTCTAGTCTATCCCCTGTACTATACGGATAGCTATTTTAGTCTATCCTCTATACTATACGGATCGCTATTTCTATATCCTCTATATTATACGGATCGCTATTTCTTGTCTATCCTCTGTACTATACGGATCGCTATTTCTTGTCTATCCTCTATACTATACGGATCGCTATTTCTTGTCTATCCTCTGTACTATACGGATCGCTATTTCTAGTCTATCCTCTATACTATACGGATCGCTATTTCTTGTCTATCCTCTATATTATACGGATTGCTATTTCTTGTCTATCCTCTATACTATACGTATCGCTATTTCTAGTCTATCCTCTATACTATACGGATCGGCATTTCTAGTTTACCCTTTATACTATACGGACCGCTATTCTCTATTCTATTCACTATACTATTTCTCTATTCGGCTCACTCTTCGGCGCTTACTTTTCTAACGAGTATTATCGAGCAAGTACTATTAGTGCAACTTCTATTCTTTATTCTCTTCACTATTTCTCTATTGCTATTCGATTAAGCGTCTGACACCAGTATTGTTCAACGGCGTACTGTAGTGGTATCTGCGATTACAAAGTCCCTACTACAACGAACATTACGAAAGTGACAACGATATTAGTTGACTTTACGAAAGTGTCAACAAGTGTTTGTGGACATCAAACGCTATTCTTTATTCTCTTCACTATTTCTCTATTCGGATCACCATTCGATGGTTACTATTCGAGCGAGTATTATCGAGCAAAAGTACTATTAGTGTGAGTGTTATTCGAAGGCGTTTGGCACCAGTATTGTTCAACGGCGTACTGTAGTGGTATCTGCGATTACAAAGTCCCTACTACAACGAACATTACGAAAGTGACAGCGAGTATTAGTTGACTTTACGAAAGTGTCAACAAGTGTTTGTGGACATCACAACGCTATTCTTTATTCTCTTCACTATTTCTCTATTCGGATCACTATTCGCTGGTTACTATTCGAGCGAGTATTATCGAGCAAGTACTATTAGTGTGAGTGTTATTCGAAGGCGTTTGGCACCAGTATTGTTCAACGGCGTACTGTAGTGGTATCTGCGATTACAAAGTCCCTACTACAACGAACATTACGAAAGTGACAACGAGTATTCGTTGACTTTACGAAAGTGTCAACAAGTGTTTGTGGACATCACAACGCTATTCTTTATTCTCTTCACTATTTCTCTATTCGGATCACCATTCGCTGGTTACTATTCGAGCGAGTTATTATCGAGCAAGTACTATTAGTGTGACAAGTGTTATTCGAAGGCGTTTGGGCACCAGTATTGTTCAACGGCGTACTGTAGTGGTATCTGCGATTACAAAGTCCCTACTACAACGAACATTACGAAAGTGACAACGAGTATTAGTTGACTTTACGAAAGTGTCAACAAGTGTTTGTGGACATCACAACGCTATTCTTTATTCTCCACTATTTCTCTATTCGGATCACCATTCGCTGGTTACTATTCGAGCGAGTATTATCGAGCAAGTACTATTAGTGTGAGTGTTATTCGAAGGCGTCTGACACCAGTATTGTTCAACGGCGTACTGTAGTGGTATCTGCGATTACAAAGTCCCTACTACAACGAACATTACGAAAGTGACAACGAGTATTAGTTGACTTTACGAAATTCGTTGAAGTGTCAACAAGTGTTTATGGACATCACAACGCTATTCTTTATTCTCTTCACTATTTTTCTATTCGGATCACTATTCGCTGGTTACTATTCGAGCGAGTATTATCGAGCAAGTACTATTAGTGTGAGTGTTATTCGAAGGCGTTTGGCACCAGTATTGTTCAACGGCGTACTGTAGTGGTATCTGCGATTACAAAGTCCCTACTACAACGAACATTACAAAGTGACAGCGAGTATTAGTTGACTTTACGAAAGTGTCAACAAGTGTTTGTGGACATCACAACGCTATTCTTTATTCTCTTCACTATTTCTCTATTCGGATTACTATTCGCTGGTTACTATTCGAGCGAGTATTATCGAGCAAGTACTATTAGTGTGAGTGTTATTCGAAGGCGTTTGGCACCAGTATTGTTCAACGGCGTACTGTAGTGGTATCTGCGATTACAAAGTCCCTACTACAACAGACATTACGAAAGTGACAACGAGTATTCGTTGACTTTACGAAAGTGTCAACAAGTGTTTGTGGACATCACAACGCTATTCTTTTATTCTCTTCACTATTTCTCTATTCGGATCACCATTTGCTGGTTACTATTCGAGCGAGTATTATCGAGCAAGTACTATTAGTGTGAGTGTTATTCGAAGGCGTTTGGCACCAGTATTGTTCAACGGCGTACTGTAGTGGTATCTGCGATTACAAAGTCCCTACTACAACGAACATTACGAAAGTGACAACGAGTATTCGTTGACTTTACGAAAGTGTCAACAAGTGTTTGTGGACATCACAACGCTATTCTTTATTCTCTTCACTATTTCTCTATTCGGATCACCATTCGCTGGTTACTATTCGAGCGAGTATTATCGAGCAAGTACTATTAGTGTGAGTGTTATTCGAATGCGTTTGGCACCAGTATTGTTCAACGGCGTACTGTAGTGGTATCTGCGATTACAAAGTCCCTACTACAATGAACATTACGAAAGTGGCAACGAGTATTCGTTGACTTTACGAAAGTGTCAACAAGTGTTTGTAGACATCACAACGCTATTCTTTATTCTCTTCACTATTTCTCTATTCGGATCACCATTCGCTGGTTACTATTCGAGCGAGTATTATCGAGCAAGTACTATTAGTGTGAGTGTTATTCGAAGGCGTTTGGCACCAGTATTGTTCAACGGCGTACTGTAGTGGTATCTGCGATTACAAAGTCCCTACTACAACGAACATTACGAAAGTGACAACGAGTATTCGTTGACTTTACGAAAGTGTCAACAAGTGTTTGTGGACATCACAACGCTATTCTTTATTCTCTTCACTATTTCTCTATTCGGATCACCATTCGCTGGTTACTATTCGAGCGAGTATTATCGAGCAAGTACTATTAGTGTGAGTGTTATTCGAAGGCGTCTGACACCAGTATTGTTCAACGGCGTACTGTAGTGGTATCTGCGATTACAAAGTCCCTACTACAACGAACATTACGAAAGTGACAACGAGTATTAGTTGACTTTACGAAAGTGTCAACCGCGTTTGTGGACATCACAACGCTATTCTTTATTCTCTTCAATATTTCTCTATTCGGATCACTATTCGCTGGTTACTATTCGAGCGAGTATTATCGAGCAAGTACTATTAGTGTGAGTGTTATTCGAAGGCGTTTGGCACCAGTATTGTTCAACGGCGTACTGTAGTGGTATCTGCGTTACAAAGTCCCTACTACAACGAACATTACGAAAGTGACAACGAGTATTCGTTGACTTTACGAAAGTGTCAACAAGTGTTTGTGGACATCACAACGCTATTCTTTATTCTCTTCACTATTTCTCTATTCGGATCACCATTCGCTGGTTACTATTCGAGCGAGTATTATCGAGCAAGTACTATTAGTGTGAGTGTTATTCGAAGGCGTCTGACACCAGTATTGTTCAACGGCGTACTGTAGTGGTATCTGCGATTACAAAGTCCCTACTACAACGAACATTACGAAAGTGACAACGAGTATTAGTTGACTTTACGAAAGTGTCAACAAGTGTTTGTGGACATCACAACGCTATTCTTTATTCTCTTCACTATTTTCTATTCGGATCACTATTCGCTGGTTACTATTCGAGCGAGTATTATCGAGCAAGTACTATTAGTGTGAGTGTTATTCGAAGGCGTTTGGCACCAGTATTGTTCAACGGCGTACTGTAGTGGTATCTGCGATTACAAAGTCCCTACTACAACGAACATTACGAAAGTGACAACGAGTATTAGTTGACTTTACGAAAGTGTCAACAAGTGTTTGTGGACATCACAACGCTATTCTTTATTCTCTTCACTATTTCTCTATTCGGATCA